ACAGTTATTTTGACACTAACATACAATTTGTTTCTCAAAAAATTTATGGCTAATGTATTTCCATAACAATAATTGGACGAATAAACCTCCCGAGAAGTGTTTATTCATATAGGCATGGGCAGAGAGAGTCATGCTTGATAAATTTAATGGATTGAATTTCTAGAGTCGGCAAACTAGATATCAATAAGAGATATGAAAGGCCACAAAATTGTTACTTTTATTTTTAGCGACTCACTTTATAGAGTGATCAACACACAGTTATTAATTGATTGTTGCACAACAAAAGCAAATAGTACCAAAGCCTAAATAATATAGAGTTCTCCAATCAGCTGTTTCCAGAAAAAGAGGTGGTATACTCTATAATTAGGTGGACCAAGTATTTGAGAACTTCATGCCGACTTTTTCGTTGATTTTTAGTTGATATATAAAGACAAAAAGAGCTTCTGGAATCTTCAAATTTTGGGTGTTCATTCAAATTAGCATGCCTTATTCCACTTTTCAACTTTTAGAAACCTTGGTAAAGAAAACGGTAACATATACACTTATATACATTGTACCACAGCGAGCGTTTGTTAAAATAAAAAGTGAAAGTTCGAAAGGAAAAAGAAAAAATGGCGGAGAACTCGTCTAGGATCAAAATTCATCTATTTTGGTTTTATATTGATCATATAAAATGATAAATCGAAAACCAGTTTCTTTATGAATCTCAGATAATATCATAAGTTTTGGATAAAGATTTATATGATCATTAACAAAAATTGTATATGAAAAATAATGATTGTAATAATTACGAAGAAAATGCACATGTTCAAACTAGTGAGGACGGTAGTGGGCTGTTATCTTTCACCGACCCAACTTGACTTTGCAGCCTTGCCTTGTTTTGTTTTCCGGTCTAAAGATTTTGTGTTTTTATTCTTCTTGCCAACAAATTTTTAGGTTTAGGTGTCTCCTTTTATTTGTTGATCTTCACATTTTATTCTTTTTTTTTTTGCAAGTAAATTTGCAAAACTAACAATAGAGAAGATATAAGTTAAGAAGATAGTTAATGAGCTGATTTAAATGGTAATATTTTTATGGTTTACTTTTACTATTAAGGTGTAGGTGATTTTTTCCGTAATTTTTTATATAGTATGTAACTATTTAATGTTGACGTCTTATCTATTAAAATGGAAG